TCATCTATTTTCCTGAATGCATCTGATGCAGATCTGTGATGGATTCATTATTGTTTTAAACGTTTCCAGATAACCAGCTGTGCTCAAGATAAAGTCTTCCTCTACGATGAAGAACAATTATGGAAGAATAACAGTCTACAATTTTTTGCACCAATTTTTAAACACTGAATTTTGTTATACATTGAATTTCTTACACTAAATTTTAATCTGTTAATAATTTTCCTGAAAAAAATTTCACCTGCAAAAAATTTGACTCCAATGTGTCGACCTTTTGCTGAACTCAAGCCAAAGCAATCTACACTCTATGCAGTTGAGCAGCTTCTAGCCAATGAAATGAGCTCATTTGGTCACATGACACGACAGTCGGGCATAGCTTTGTTCCCAGCTGAATGAAGCTGAATGAGGAGTTTTTCTTGTTAAATTGATGATTAAAAAACATCAGGTAGCTACTATAGACAGCCATTAGTTTTTCATCCAATCAGACTGGGTGAAATAACTGAACCCATTTCTGCCAAGGCTCTTCGTTTGATGAAGAAGAAGTGACCGGCGGCAATTTCTTATTTTCTTTCTGACCAAATGAGCTAATTTCATTGGCTAGAATCTGCTCGACTACATCGAGTGTAGATTGCTTAGGCTTGAGTTCACCAAAAGGTCAAGACATTTGCAGCTGAATTTTTCGCAGCTTAATTTTCACCAGATAAAAGTTCAGTGTTTAAAATTCGGTGTACAAAATAAGAAAGATTCCAATTAGACAGTTTCTCTTCCATAAACAATGGTTATAGTTGTTGTTCATAACATCACATGCTTGTACCCCGAGAAGGTTGCAAGTACCCGGTTCGATTCCCAAAGCTGGCACTCTGGGTCTCTGACCAAGACCCTTAACCCCACACTACAGTTCTATTTCATTAAGGTGTTTTTATTTTCTAATGCAGGTGTTAAATTATAGACCTTTTCTGTTCAGTTTTTCATCAGAATCTTCTCTAAAGAAGTTCTCAGTCCTCCTTGTTTCTGATGAACTTCTCCTCCTGCCATCCTAACTCCCCATCAGGTCCGTGTCCACGGTCCACACCACCATCTCTCTCCACATCCTGCCATCCCCTCAGCCTCGCTGCTATAAAGTCTGCACCCACAGCCGGCGGCGGCGCAGGAGCCTGGTGGCGTCTACGCTTCCTGAGCTGCTGGAGCAGGTGAACATGGCGGTTCCTCTGGGATGTTCCACCTTTCAACGCTCCGCTTTACTGGCTTTTTCTCTTCCATGGTGGCGTGTCCCAGGCAGCGAGGGTCTTCATGCTGTCTTGCTGTAACCTCCTGACTCTGGTCCTGGAGGAGGACGGCACTGTGGTGGACTCTGAGGAGTTCTTCCAGTCGCTGCCCTGTAGCACTACGCTGATGGTTCTGGATAAAGGGGAGATGTGGAGCCAAAGTAAGGTGAGACTCTTCAGCTAGAAACAGCAGACAGACCAATGAAGGCTGATTTAACTGGAACTAGACTGTGAGAATTTGTTTACATTGATA